AGCTGTATTTTTCCTCTGAGTTGCTGCCTACCCCCACTCCCCATCCTTTGCTCCCATTACCTACGATGACCTTTTTTCTCAAAAGAGAATTCCCCAACTTCTTAGATAGGTGGGGAAATGCGACACTTTCGCAGAGACTGTAATTCATGGTGGTCTCTACTTTAGAGCAATGCCTAGGAATTAGGAGAGAGGTCCAATCTACTCTAGGACACTGCAAACCCAGTGCCCTTCTGGGAGGGATGGAGGCCAACAGAGGCCATGCCCACCCCTTTCTTTACCACCAGTGGGGATGGCATTTCAGAACGAGGCCCTGAGACCCTGGGCCTGACTCAGCTTAGAGGGTTACCTGGCAAGCTTCTTCCTCTCCTTCTCTTCTTCTTCCTCCTTTTGGGCAGATGTGAGGCTCTCAGCATCAGCCAGGTTGTCCACAGCAATGGCCAAGAACACATTCAGTAGGATATCTGTTTGTGTCCATTCTTAAAGAAAATGACCCTTGGCCTTGGGGTTTTCAGTGGGCATAGGGGGCAGGGAGGGTGCAGGACATGCAGGGGTAGAGTTTCCCACAGAGAGAGCTCAATGGTGACTCACTTTGAGGGGTGCTGAGCCCAGGGGTGTCCCGTTTCCACCCCTTTCCCTCCCCATCACCCTACTGGCTGCCTGGAGTTTTCTAAGGCTGAGCAGGTTAGCTTGCAGGCTAGAGTGGGGAGGGAGTGCGGCAGCGAGCCCTGCCTTGCTCTTTAATTGCTGGGTTTCATTACTGGTTTCCCCACAGAGATGACTGGCTATAATTGACATTATAAACAGCACTGTCTCTAGCAGAATGCAGCATGTTCTTAAGGGCTGTTCATTACAACTGGGAACTGAGGAGGCAGCCTGACATCTCTGCCAACTCTTAATGTGAGCCATGCATACAGGGTCCAGTGGAACTGGCCAAAACTTGGATGCTCTTAATTGAAGCAGCTGTTTGTCCTTTTCTCCTCCCCGCATCCCCAACCTTGAATGGAAATACTGTGGGTCAGAGAACTGCAGAATCAAAGAAAGTATAGCTGAAAGAGGTCTTAACATTTGTTAAGTCTGACCTCAGCCCCCAGGTACCCAACAGTCATACCATTTCACACACAGAGAAATCACATCCCAAGGGGTTGAGGGCTTGCCCAAAGTGCTACTAGATACCTGCCCTTGGGCCTTACCCCCTCAAACCTCAGAGTGACCCGTTAAATAGTGGGCACTATTATTTTATCATCCCAGTTTACAGAGACCAAGGGTGGAGAACCTTTCATTCCCTGAGGTCATGCTGCCTGTCTTTGGGACCAGTGTCCATGCTTTCTGCACTACATTAAGCTGCAATTTAAACTTAAATCTTGGGCCAGAGCTGCTTTCACTTTACCACCTGACTCTGCATACAACCTTCACAGGTTTGTGACCAGGGGAGAAGACTGCCTGCATTTGAGATCCAGAAAGACTGCCCATGGATTTGTCAGGTCTGCTTGGTGAAGCCCATCCAGCTCTGCCTGTGACTAAAGTCCCAGAGAGAGGCTTCAGAGGGCGGGACACTGACCAGAAAGCAGGGAGGAGAGATGAAGGTCATTTCAAGGCTGAGGCTTTGTCAACTAAGCCTCTTATCTCCATCAGATGTGGCAACACAGGGCAGCCAGGGCTTCTAAATCCAGGTGCGTTCACATAGGAGCCTAAGTGAGTGGCTGCACGCCACCATGCCAGGGGGTGTTGCTCACACAGACACTCCTCCTGGAGTCAGGCAACACTGTGGCCACAGCTGTACAGGAAGATGAACTTACAAGATGAATTTGGCTTCCACCAAGACCCACCTCCAACTAAGGTGGTTCTGGGCTGGGAACTGTTTTCTCCCCCAGAGCATACTTTCCCCCACTTGCCTGGGTGCTCTGTGGGTGGGCAACCATAGTTCTTAGGTCCTGACTTTGGACCTTCAGGCACACCTATTTGGCATCGTGCTGTAGGCTAAGGGAGGGTGGGCAGCAGGGGTGAGAGGGCAGGTGCAAAGGATACAGTTTCCACAGATGAAGAGGATGATGAAGTAAATACAGACTAACATCCCTGGAAAAGAGGGGCCGCCATAAGCCATGATCCCATCATACATCACCGAATTCCAGTCCTCCCCGGTCAGGATCTGAATGACACATTCCCACCAATAAGGGACACAGCGTTAGACCAACAGCAAACCCCAAAACTCCCCTGCCCTGCCCCACTACATTAATAAAGATGCCTGAAATCTCTTTCCACCTCTATCCCTCCTTCTGGCCCCAAGTTCTCCTCCCAGGGGCTCTGAGCTATTGACTTGGCAATTTGTTCCTAACCTAGGAGACAAAGTGCATGGCCACTGGCATACTATTATTTGAGGAGTGACTGACTGAAAAGGTTTTCCCGGTCAAAATACTTCCTATATCCACATACGGTACATGAGATGGCCATCACTAGCCATTCCTTAAATTAAGGCATTAAGGGCCCCTTTACAAATGTGAAATGCAGTCATTAAGCGAGTAATACATGACCCGGTTCTCCCCAAACATTGGTTGGCTGGGTATCATCTTTAAGATTTTGGCAACATCTACACATTATTCATTTTTATGTATATCAATCTACTTTTAAACTCGATGAGTGCTACTTTAGCTTTGCCCTAAACCAAAATATCTATGAAATCACAAATTTGATGGGCTAGTTATATTTTTTTCTAGGGATAAGCGTGGTGGGTAGGAAAGATGGAGCACTATCCTCCCCTTCCCCAACAAGAGCAACCTGCTTTTATTTGTTTATATTTTGGCCTTTCATGTAGAATTTATTTGAATGAAGGGTTCTGTGGCTAAGAAAAAGTTTATAAACCTCTCAATTAGATCTTTTTTCAATGGTCCATCCAGCAGTGGGATTCCATGGACCCTGGGGGTAGGGGAAACTATAAAAAGAACTCAAGGCTCTCCCAGCCATGGGCCTCCATGGCTGATCTAGCTGGCTTTGGCTGCCCAGTGCGAGGGTGAAGCTTCCCACCACCTTGTCGAGGCTCCTTCTTCCTGCTCCCCTTCCCCCACCACTTGACCACCCTTCTGGCCATAATCCCAACAGAGGAGAGTCCGTACCTGAAACACAGTGAGGAGGGACTGGGGAAAGTTATCAAATGTACTCCTCCGGGTCTGCATCTCATCAAAGTTGAACTTTCCTCCAAAGAGCTGCATTCCCAGGAGGGAGAAGATGATGATGAAGAGGAAGAGAAGCAGCAGCAGGGAGGCGATGGAGCGCACGGAGTTCAGCAAGGATGCCACCAGGTTGCTTAAGGAGTTCCAGTACCTGAGGACCAACATGAGGGATCAGCGTCCTTCCGAGCTTTCCTTCACTTCACCCCTTATTCATATGCCCACTAGAGAGTTTAAGATAAATTTCAGCTTCCTCTTCTTTTCTGGGCCCCAAATTACAGCTATACTGGGAGGCAGCGAGGTGTGAATTGGGCTGGTAAGCTCTCTGTTAGAGTGCAGCTAGTTTGATTCAAGGTCCCAGGATCAACAATGTGCACTGGAGAAGAGACAGAGCTTAGGAGTCAGAAGCCTGCATTCTGACCCAGCTCTGCCAGTTGCTAGCTGTGTGTGCCTTTGGACAAGTCACTTAACTTCCCTTCTTTCTGCCTCCCTATCTGAAAAGACAGAGACAACAGTGGCACACACTTCATTAGTTTATTGAGAGGATTGGATTGCATGAGATAATCCAAAAAAAAAAAAAATAGTCCCCAGTATAGTACCTGGTGCACAGTCAATAAAGGTTGGTTATTGTCGTTGTCACTATTGGTCTTTAGACAGAAAAACACTCTTTTTCCTCCATAAATGCTGCCCTCAGCCTAGCCCAGGTAGCAGCTGTCTAGCAGGGGCATGCGTTAGTTAGGTCACCCATGGGTAAGAGAGGGTATGTGGCTTAGCACAATTTCTCAAATTTACCCTATCCAAAGAATTTTTTTTTTTTAAAGCTTCTCTTCTGAAGATCCTGATTCAATAGCTATAATTTGGGGCCCAGAAACCTGTATTTTAAACAAGCATCCCAGAGGATTCTGATAAGCAGGCAAGTTTGGGAAAACCTGTCCTACCCATAGGGACAGGTCTGGGCCGACAGGCTGTTGGTGAGGCTCCTTGGAGAAGAGGCCCCCACTTCGTATAGTCACCCACTTTCGTTCTACTGTAAATACACACAGAGGTCCTTCATTATAGCCTGGGGAAAACCCTTTTCCCTTGGGAAAGGGGTGGGGGCCTACTAATGGCTGTTGGATGTGGCTTGGTACCTGTGAAAGGGTTGGTTCAGGAAAAGGAGATGCCCTGTAGCAAAAGGGACACAGCTCCGGCCTGGAGCAAGAGCAAGAGCAGAGAAATTGGGAATCCCTGCCGTCCCTCTGGCCTCGCTGCCTCCCAGGTCACGGTCTGGAGTTCCTCCACCTCACACACCCCCAGCTGATCACCACATATGTAGTGAATTTTTTTGCTGCCTAAGAGAGTGAGATGCGAACCACCCCCATTATAGCCTCACAGCTGCACTCCCCGCCTGGCATGTCTCTCCAGAGAACCGTTCCATATTAAGTGACAGAAGCAGATGGGCCAACAGTTTGGATGTAAACATGAACTCCTTCCCAACCTGGAGCTTTTAATGCTCCTTTCTCCTTCACAAATTCAGCCTTTCTCCACCTCTCTTTTGCCTGCCAGTCACACTCCCTCTGTTTGCTGAATATTAATATACATTTAGTTGTATCTGTTCTATAAATGCTCTTAAGTGTTTTCCATTTGTGACAGTCTTGTCTCACTCATTGGCTCTGAGTTCTCAAGGGCAGAGACTAGAGTTTTTTTCTTCTATTCTCTCCATCTCTGTCCCCAAATAAATTCTGTCTAATCCAGTACATGTGATGGACAGCCTGGTGCCCCAGTAGGCTAGAGGTTGCAATAATCATTCTGTTTAAAGCAAGAAGGGAGAGAACCTCTCCAGGGCTAGAACACCCTTCCCTCTTTCATCTAAAGCAGAATTCCTAAATGTGCTGAAGATGAAACTGCTGAGGAGAGTGACCGTTTTCTAAATACTGACTCCCAGGCCACTGCCTGGAAACATGAAATCATAATCTCTGGTGCTGAGCCTAGTGTGATTTTCATGCAACCACTCCAACACTTGCCAGTCAACTGGTGTTTAGGGACCAATAACTTTAGAGCATATTTATAACAAGATTTTCCAATTGTATCAGAAGAGAGTGTGTCTGCACGTGGACTAAGGTCATTGAGCCCCCTGGAGTTCCTCTGTGTGTTCGACTACCAGGGAATCTTCTGGAAAAGTCTTATTGGCCATGGAGTTTGGAGTAATTTTCATGAGGCACATGGACAAATCATGCTTACAACTGAGGTTCAGAGATATTTGACAGCCACAGGAACCCTAAGGAGGCCCCAGACTCGAGAGAGACAGTCACCATGCATGGGGAGAGCTTTGGCAGAGTGGAGCAGACTAGGAGGCAGAGTAGGCGGTAATGCAGGAGGAGCCCCTTGAGTGTAGGGGTTCTGGGGAAGCAGAGGCTGTGGCAGAGAAAGAGACTGGGTCATCTGGTGAGGGAGAGCTCTTCTGGAAACGTTGGGCATGAAGGATGGCAGACGGTGTGGAATCTAGGGGGCCTGTGTGTGGAGCAGGTGTAAGAGCTGTGATGGTCAAGAGGGGCCAGCAGTGGGTGGAACATTTGATTAAAAGTGAGCGCTCTTGTCTCACACTTGCCCATGTATCCTGTCTCCCCACCCCAGGGTGTCCCAGGAAAGTCTGCACTTCTCTTAGTCAATCAGGAGGTTTTGTGGTGTGATAGAACCCCTAATTCTCCACCCATCATCTTCCTCACAGTAGATGACAACTGTAGTTTCCGGCTCAAGCCATATCCTGAAGTTATCCTTTGCAGCTCTCTCTCACACCTCATATCAGCGTATCCTGTGGCTCCATCTTCAAAGCGAAGCCTGAATTTGGCCACTTACCACCACTCTCAACCAGCCCGAGCCACCAGCATCTCTGTTCTGGATTTCCGCCTCCTAAGATTTGCCCTGCTTTGACCCTTGCTCCCTACAGCTATTCATACCACATACATCTCAGGTATAAAGCCTTCAAATGTATCACTTTCATTCTTTTTTTTTTTTTTTTAAAGAATAGTAATGGGTTAAAACATATTAAAAACCAATCTAAATCTACTGACATGAAAAAGTAGGGTAAGGGGTGCTATGGGAGAAAAAAAGGGGTGCTTTCTTTATAGAATTATCAAATAGATAATATGAATGAATGATAGAATTAGAAAATCACCATTTTGCAGCAGTAGCCAATTCAGGTAAAGATCATCATGGATGCTAAAACCATTGGGTGAAAGGTCATTGGGGAATAGGGTATTCATAGTCTCAAAATATCACTCCATAGATTACTTATTAGTTACAAGGGAAAGGGTACCGTAACATGGAGAAATCGGACACGCACCCGTGAACTGACAGTGCATACTTCCTGATGTAATATAGTGGGAAGACACAACGTCATCTATGTTCCCCACACCACAGCCTCAGGACACACCAAGCCTCATCTCAGCCTTAAGCCTCCGAAAGACTTCCCATCGGAAGGCCTAACGGCTCCTGCGGAGCTGGCCCCCACTGCCTCCAGGACCTCGTCTCTTCCTACTCTCCTGCCTCGTTCTCTAGCCCTCTGGCCTCCTCACTGTCCCTCTTCCCTCTGCATGTGCTGCTGCCCTGGCCCCTTCAGTCTTTGCTCTGCAGAGCTCTCCCCCCGAACCCTGCATGACTCAGTCCTTCAGTCTCTGCAAGCCTCTACCCAAATGTCCCCTTTCCAGAGAGGTCCTCTCTGACCACCACTCTATCCCTTATCCCTCCTTTTTTATATACTCGTAACCACCAGCCACCAGAATGTAAGGTCTGTGGGAATAGGGAATTCATCTGCTTTTTCCTTTATCCCTCCTTTTTTATATACTTGTAACCACCAGCCACCAGAATGTAAGGTCTGTGGGAACAGGGAATTCATCTGCTTTTTTCAAATCTTTAGTGCTCAGAACAGTGCCCAACCCAAAGGAGGTGACCAATGAATATTTTGTTGAACGAATGATTGACTCTATTATAAATGTGACACATTTGTATTTACTGAAGGGAAAGGCAAGAGGACACGGGGTTAAATAGATGCTTCTCTGTGCATGGTGTGACAGGGTGAGGAGGTGGGACCTCTCACACACACGCACACTTTACCTCACTGCGAGGAGAAGCTATTTGCACTTCCCCCATATCATTTCTTTTCCTGTCGCTTCCCTAAACTCATGAGCAAAGTTTCTGAGATTCCTGACTGTTCTATTGCCAGACCACATATCAAACTACTACATAGCTAGAGAACAGATTGATGGTTGCCAAAGGCGGGGTGGGTGGGGTAAGTGGGCGAAGGGGGTGGTCAAAAGGTACAAATTCATTATAAATCAGACATGAGTATGTAATGTACAGCATGGTGACTATAGTTAAGAATACTGTATTGCATATTTGAAAGTTGCTAAAAGAGTTAAATCTTTAAAATTCTCTCATCACAAGAAAGAATTTTTTGTAACTATGTATGTGATGGATGTTAATTAGACTTATTGTGGTGATTATTATAGTAGTCCCCCCCATACCTTTGGGGGGTACATTCCAAGATCCACCCCTCACCCCGGTCAATGCCTGAAACTACAGATAGTACTGGACCTTATATATACCTTATATATGTTTTTCTTATGCATAAGTACACTTAGGGCTTTTTTTTTTCTGGCATATCCAAGTTGTCAGCATCACCACTCTTGAGCTTTGGGACCATTATTAAGTAAAATCAGGGGGACTTGAACACAAGCATGGTGATACTATGACAGTTGATCTGAAAACGAAGATGGCTACTAAGTGCCTAAAAGGTGGGGAGCATATACAGTGTGGAGACGCTGGACAAAGGCATGATTTACTTCCCGGACTGGACAGAGCGGGACGGCACAATATTTCATTATGCTACTCAAAATAGCATGCGATTTAAAACTTATAAACTATTTCTAGAATTTTTCATTTAATATTTTCAAGATCATGGTCGACCACAGGTAACTGAAACTACAGAAACCAAGGATAAGGGGGACTACTGTATATACAAATATCAAATCATTATGTTGTCATGGTCGACCACAGGTAACTGAAACTACAGAAACCAAGGATAAGGGGGACTACTGTATATACAAATATCAAATCATTATGTTGTAGCAAATCATTATGTTGACATAATGTTATATGTCAACTATAACTCAATAT